CGACGCCATCCGGCTGCTTCCCCTGTGCTCCTCCCTGGCGTGGCCGGGCCAGCCCACCCCCCACCGAGGAGGCGAGGGCCGGCGGGCTGCGGAGCTCAGGGCCAGCCCCGGGCCAGATACACGGAGCGACCTTGACCGCAACCTGGGCTGTCAGGGCAAACCCCGGGGCTTCCCGCAGCTGCCGGGGGAACTGGCCCTGATGTGGAATGGGCCCCTCACAATGCCTCCAGCCTGCGGTGACAGAGCAGCAGTCCTGGCAGAGCAGCCCGAGTCCGAGGCTCAGGCGCCCTGCTGAATCTCGGGGGACCCTGGGCAGGTGGGAGCCCAGGCAGAGCAGAATAGCGACAAGCCCCCCAACTCTGGTATCCGTGGGAACCCAGGGAGCCGAGGCTGTGGGTGGGCACAGCCGTCCACTGGGGTCCTGTACCCCTGGAAGAGTCACACGGAGCAGGGCAGGGCTCCCCCCAGTCCCCAGCTCCAGCAAGAGAGCGTGGACGGGAACCAGAGGGCTGGAACCTCGGCAGACCCGCTGGGGGCAGGTCACCCAACCTGCGGTGCTTCTGCGAAGATTCTCCGGCATATCACTGTGTCCATGTGGGACTCGCCGTGACCCCCAGGGCTGGAAGCCACACACCAGGACGAGGGGGCCAGCAGAGGAGGCAAGGACAGAGGTGCCCCTGAGGCCTGTCCCAGAGCACAGAAGGTGGGAGACACTGCCTCCCCCCGCCAGCCCTGGCTAGATGCTCACACACTCCCACACGCACATGCAGGGGAGTTAGTGTGTCCTTGTCCCCTGCAGAATTTGCAGACCAACTTGGGGCCAGCTGGGCTCTGCACGTCTCTCCTACCTGCAAAGGAAGCCTCTGAGGTTCTGGCAACACCTGGGTATTTGCAAAGCCCATCCGGCCAGGAGTTCTGCAGCCACCAGGCACCTTCCTCAGGGCTGCACTGGCCTCACCTTCCCTGGACTTCCAGGGGTTCCAGCGACATCCTGCATGAACACGTGGCCTTGCTGATCCTGGGGCCCAAATGTCCACCAAGGAAACTGAGGCACAAAGGGTGTGGGCTCAAGTCCAGCCCCTGCACCCCTGTCCTCACCTCTCTGCACCTGCCCATTGGCATGGGGACCTGGCCCCGAGTGCCTGCTGGGCATGACGGGTGGTCAGGGAAGAAAGGGGAGGCAGGAGTGGTGGCAGGAGCAGCCAGGGTGGCAGCGCTGGTGGCAGCAGACCTGGGGCCTTGCTCTCCCCGGCCCAGGCTTTGACAACATGGAGCAAGGTCCCTCAAGTCCGGGTGGCCGTGGCATTCCCAAGGCCCTGCAAGACCAGCTGGGTGGGGAACCTGCCATCGTGAGACTGCTCACACACACCCCAGTGCCCGGCCGAGGTAACTCGAAGGCAGGGCTCAGCCGGGACTGCAGACAGGGACGCCAGCACATGGCCTCTCCATGTGGCTTGGACTTCCTCACAGCACGGCCGTCCGGGGAGTCAGACTTTGCACGTGGCATCTCAGGACCCCAAGAGCGAGCAAATAATGTGGACACCTCATGGTCTCTTATGACCCTGCCCGAGAAGTCACACAGGGTCAACCCCAGCATCCTTTCGTGGCTAAATTAGGCTCAAGCCCACCCCCCTGCAAGGAGAGAGGACACAGACCTCACGCCGTGATAAGCAGACTGTCAGGGAATCTGCAACCGTGTTCAAAAGCACCACAGGCTCAAATAGGTAACCTGGTGCCCCTCCCCCCCACCCCGGGCCACACTCGGCAATGCCCTGAGACGTGTTTGGTTGTCACACCGGGTGGAGATGGGGGGGGCTGCTATGGGCAGAGGCCGGGTGCTGCTGAATGTCCTACGGGGCACGGGACAGCCCCCAACAAAGCATCCTCCGGCCACGGTGCTGCATGCAGAAGCCCTGGGACAGTGGCCGTGGATTCAGGTGTGGCTGTTCTCTGGGCAGCGGCGGGCTTTCTGAGGGTGTCCCTCGGCTGTGATGCGGTAGAGCTGTCCTGAGGAGCAGGTGGTGCCCGCCGGGCTGAGGGCGGGGAAGCTGTGGCCCAGCCCTGGGCAGGAGGCAGGGTCCTGGGTCCCTTTCCCCTCCCCCATCGTGGCCCCCGTTTCCTCGCCTGCAGCAGGGGCCAAGCTCAGAGCTGGGGAACGACTCCAGGCCTTGGACCCTGGTCAGGGCCTGCATAGACCCGGCCAGCACAACTCGCTTGACCTCAGTCTCGCAGCGTCCTCACCACGGGGACCGTGTGGCCGGAGGGAGGCTGGCTGGTTGCCCGGGTGGTTTGGGTGTTCCCTGCTTCCTCTCCTCTCCCGGCCCCCGCCCCGGCCTGCCCGGGTTCCCATTGAAATGCCAGCCAAACGGGCAGCTACAAAGGCAGCCCCAGACCACGGGCTTCCGGGCCCTGCTCTGGGCAGCTGCTGGAGAGTCCCAGGCCGGGCGTACATTGTTCCATTTTTGGAATTCTTCGGGAGTGAGAGCAGCCTCGGCTGTCAACAGAGCTCTGTTCACAGAGGCCGCCCGGCAAAGCAGAGAGGGCGAGCTATTGTCCGGGGCTGGGCTGCGGGCCGCAGGAATGTGCTGGAATGCCGGGCTGCACGGCCCAGCCCCGGAGCAGGGCCTTTGTGTGCAAACACCACCGGGCAACTCGGCCATCCCATCAGTAACAATGACCTCACGGCCAGGGGCTGGACTTGCCTGCAGACAGCAGGCCCGTGTGGTGTGATGGGGCTGGGGCCTCCAGGAGGGAGGCGGTGGGGAGGCCCATCCCTCCCCCAAGGGGCACAGGCAGCAGCAGCCGTGCAGGGGCACCTGCCCAGGTGGGGCTGTGCGTAAGCTTCTTCCTCTGTAGGTAGGTGGCTGTGACCGTTTGGGGCCAGCGGACACCCCAGGGTGCCTGAACCCCCAGTGTCGGGCTGGGAAGCTCAATCCTGAAGGGCCCCAGTGACAGGGCCATGCAGGTGCAGGTGGGGCGGCAGCCACCCCAGCCTTCACGCACACAGAGGGCCCCCTCCACCCCTTGCAGGCGCCTCACCTCTGTGAGCCGCACTTTCTTCATCAGTAAAAACGGGACCAGGGGACAGAAAGTCAGGTGATCAAAGTCAGCATCACAGTGACAAGACAGGTAGATGTCAGGTGCCCCTGGCCAGGTGTGACGAGAAGGGTGCTTCCCTCCCAGGCCCAGTAACCCCTGTCCAGGCATGAGACCAACACCAGACAAACCCCTTCCAAGAGACATTCTGCAGAACACCTGACGGTTCTCCTAAAACTGCCAAGGGCATCAAAAACAAGCAAGGACTGAGAAACTGGCACCGCCAGGAAGAGCCCGAGGAGGAGGAGGACGACTAAATGTCACGTGGAACCCGTGGGCCCTGGGACAGCAGAGGGCATGGGGTAGTAGCAGGCATCAGAGGGTGGCCGGGTGGGAGCGATTGGCCTCTGGTCCTCAGTGCCTGCCCCGCAGAGCGGCTGATGCTCCCACCCCCGGCCACCCTTGACGCCTGCTCCTCCTCCCACCAGCTCAAAGCAAGGTGTCCCATGTCCCTCCTCACCCGAACCTGGGCCGGGCGCCCCTCCTCTGGGCTCCACAGCACCTGGGCAGGCATCACCTGCAGGGAAAGTCCAGCCCTCCTGGTCCGCCTCTCCAACTAGACGGGAGCAAACTGAGGCCCAGGCTGGGCCAGGGTCCCCTTGGTGGCCCCAGGCTCTGACGCAGCCTGGAGCACAGCAGGGGCTCGGCAAGTGCCGCCTGGATGGAGAGCAAGAAGGGGGAGGGGAGGAGAGACGGCATCAGACCATGGAAGGGTACACGGGACGGTGGAGAGACCAGCGGGAGGGAGGGTAGTCGGGAGGGCGGGTGCACGTGGGGCGGTGGATGCGTTTGCCGGGTCCGGGGCAGGGTGGGGGCTGTTCACACCCCACTCGGCCGTGTCTTGTCCCTCGACGAATGAGGCGGTCTCTCTCCGGGGACCTCCCAGCCCCGCGCCCTGCACGCGCCCGAGTCAGCAAGCTGGGAGGGGAGGGCGGCAGCGAGGAGCCGCGTGGTGCCCAGGCCATGCTGTCAGCACTGGCGACTGGGGCCGCTCCAGAGCGGGACAGGCCGCGTTCCTGCGCCGCTGAAACCCCCTGCCAGAGCGGAAAGCACCGGATCCCGGGGATTTTTCTGGAGTGGATTTAATTCTGCCAACGAGAAAGAATCGCCGTCACCGACGGCGGTCAGAGGAGCATTTCCAGAGCCGTGGAGACAGGGCTGGCCACCCCACCGTCTGGGACAGCGCGAGGCACAGGGACCGTCCCACCTAGGGCTGCAGTGTCCAGCGCTGCCCACCACGCACAGGCGCAGCCGCCTGGGGAACCCCGGCTCCTGGGCTCAGGGCCCCCCTGACCCCCCCTGTCCCTGCCTCCACACCTGCCCCCGTCACCGCGCCCCAGAGTCGGGGTGAGGGGGGGCTTTGTTCTCCCCCAACGTGTCACAGCACGACCATCGGGAGCATGCCCTGTAGTGTCCCAGGCTACAAACCGGCCTGGGACAGGGTCCCGTCCCTACACCTGTGTCCACGTGTGTAGAAGCAACGGCTGGGAGGCCGCAGGCAGCAGAGCTCCTGGCCGACCCCAGCTCTCCCACCTCCCCAACCCGGCCTGTAAGCCACACTGACCCGCACACTCCGCTCCGGCGGCAGATGTCCCCACCAGTGCCCACACCCAGCTGCCCACTCCCCCCGGCCCCCACGCCCACCTGTGTCTGCCTGCCGAGGTTGGCAGTTCCCAGGTCTGCAAATGCCTCTGTGCTTAGAGCTGCAACCACAGTCGTCCCCGGAATCCAACGGGCCCTGGTTGCAGGACCCCCCCACACACACACTGGAATCCTCGGATGCTCAAATCGCTCGTGCAGCTGGTGCAGTATCTGCATGCCACCCACACATAGCCTCTCTAGGTCGCTTACACGATGCCTGGCACAATGCAAATGCTACAAAAGCAGTTGTCATACTGCACTGGTTTTTCCTGTGTGCTCCTTTTTATTGTTGCATTGTTATTTTTGTTTTTCCCCTCAAATCTTTCTGATTGGAGCTTGGTTGAATCTGTGAATGCAGAGCCCACAGACACCCACAGACCCAGGGGGCTGCCTATACATAACTTAACTGATTTCATTAAGTGGTACATAAACCGACGAGGTCCAGGTGCAAAAAGGCAGTTACTAATTCCACGAAAACGAAGCTTTAACGCTTCAGGAAATATCGATACTGATAAGTTGCTTAAAATAAAAGTTTCAACTTAGTAACGGGCGGGGCAGCTGGAAACAATTACGGCGAACGTTCATATGATTCTAGAAAATTCCTGAATTTTCTAGAAAATTCTAGAAAAACCCTGGATTTAGGTTGTGTCTTCCGCCTCTGCCACCCCCGAGATGGCCAGACCTGCCCTCCGCTCCCCCTCGGCCTACTCGGCCCAAAGACGACCAGGATGAAGGCCCGTGTGAGGATCCGCTTCCGCCTGCCCGGTAGGAAACGCATTTCCTCTCCCCCGTGATTCTCTTCCTGACGTTGCTGCTCCGCGGCTCACCTTCGCGCGAGAGGGTCGTTCCGACCGTGGAGGGCGGCCTTTGACCGAATCCAGGCCCTACGGGACAGCGAAGGGGTCTGTTCTGTGAAGTCTGGGTTCTGCCAAGAGGGGCCACACTTGGGGGTCTGGAGGGCCACATGTGCCTGGAAGCTGTAGGTTCCCCGCCCCTGGAATAGCGTATAATACATGTGACACGCAACATACACGTTAATGCACGCTTAGTGTTGTCAGTAAGGTTTCCCGTCAACAGTCGGCTTGAGCAGTTACATTTCTGGGGAATCAAAAGCCACGCGTGGAGTTTTGACGCACAGGGGCCAGCGCCCCCAAATCCCGCGTTGTTCGAGGGTCCGGGTCGACCCACCGTACATTTACGCCGTCTGAGGTTGAAATAAAAGGCTAGCCACGAGCACGCCTCGCTTGCTGCTCCCCTGCTCCGAAGGGCTTGTCCTCCTGCCGGCTTTTCTCCGGCCCGGAGCGAGAGAGGGGAGGCGGCTTCCTCTCCCCGCGGTGTCCCCCACGGCTCTTCTGGAGCTGCAGGTGATTTTTACCTCCTCCTTTATTATTTTCTGTCCTCTCCAAATTTTCTCCAGCAAGCATGCATCACTGCTATAATCTGAAAGAAAAGTTAATACGTTCTTATTAATGAGCACCTTAGGAGAATTGCTGTGCTCGGTGGCCTCCCGCCAGGTCTGCACCTTGTCCCTACCTGGGAGAGGATCGGGGTTTCTCGACCATGGCCCTGTTGACATTTTGGGCCAAATCATTCTTTGTTGAGGGGCGAGGGAGCCAGGAAAGCTGTTCTGGTACCAAAGGGTTTTTTTTTTTTGTTTTTGTTTTTGAGACAGGGTCTTGCTGTGTTGCCCGGGCCACAGTGCCGTGGCGTCAGCCTAGCTCACTACAACCTCCAACTGCTGGGCTCAAGCGATCCTCCTGCCTCAGCCTCCCAGAGTGCCAGGATTATAGGTGTGAGCCACCGCGCCCGGCCCTGGAGGATGTTTTGTCCCATCCTTGGCCTGTACCCTCGAGAAGCCAGTAGCGGTTGTGACGAAGGAGCTTGTCTCCAGACATCACCAAATGCCACAGGGGGCAAAATCGCTGCAGCTGGAGAACCACGGGTCCAGATCCAAGACCCACCCCGGGGAACCTGTCCTCCTCACTGTCCCCAGTCATGTCTCCACCACACTGACTGTCAGACAGGAGAAACGTAAAATGCTGCAGGAAATATTATCTTTCCATTCTCTGAACGTTCTGGCTTCACGGAGCCAAAGCCTGGATCATGAGAGATAAGTTTGCATCTAAACTGCATCTTCCAATTTTTACCACTGCCGCCGCAGGGGGAGGGCTGCACGGCTCTGTCTGTCCTGAGAAGGTTATTCCCTAGGCGGCTGGAGTCTCGGGACGGCCACCTCCCCCCACAAGTCACAAAGTTCTCAGCGGCCTTTTCCACGTCTGCATTTGTGGAAAGACTTCGGCTTTTTCTGACCTGTACGAGCCCCCAAAGAACCCAGCAGAAGTGAGCGGCAGGAGGCGGGGGCCGCCCTGGTCGGGGGTGGGCACTGCTGGCCTCCCCTGCACCCCTAACTTTCAGCCGCGTGCCCTGGGTGAGCCCTGCCTGGGGACGCTGACCGGTCCAACTTCCCACAGAGTGTTTGTGAGTCCCACGGCCTGGTGGATCCCGGGGACGTGGGGCGGCTCCCCAGGAAGCCGTTCCCGCCGGGGCCAGTCATTCAGGACCCAGGGCAGGCCAGAGAAGAAGGTAAATGAGGGTGGATGAAGGTGGGCTCCTTCCCGCTGGGGTGCACACACGGTGACAAAGAGAAAGAAGGCAGCCCCCAGCACCCCGGCCCGTACGCCCGGCTGAGTCTGGGCTCCACTGGGCAGGAGTCTTCACGGCCCAGGGTAACAAGATCAGCCACGGGGCGGGCAGAAGTGTTTTGCATTTGTCCTTATTTTCTCAGGCCTTTTAAAAACAACGGCTTCATTGACCTTGCCCACCATACAATTCACCCATTTGAAGTGTACAATTTGGTGGTTTTGAGTATGTTCACAGAGTTGTGCAACCTTCACCACCACCCTGTTTTAGAACATTGTCATCACCCCCAAGAAGCCCCACACCCGTCAGCACCACCCCGCACCACCCCCCACTCCAGCCCCGGCACCCACGAGTCCACTCTCTGTCTCTGTGGGTCTGCCTGTTCTGGACGGTTCGTGGACAGGGCGTCATGCAGCACCTGTGGTCTTCTGCGCCTGGCTCCCCGCAGCCGGCATGACGTCCGGGCCCGCCCGTGTCGTAGCGTGTCGGCGCTTCCTCTCTGCCGTGGCTGAACGGTAACCCGGGCACGGCCACGCCGCAGCCCGCCTATCCATCCTCCATCTGATGGGCGTTCGGGTTGTCTCCGCTTTTTGGCTGTGAACGTTCACGCAGGAGTTTCTGCGCAAATACGTGCCTTCATTTCTCTTGGGCACGTATGCAGGAGTGGAGTTGCTGGGTCAGATGTCCCCTCTACGCCTGACATTTTGAGGGACTACCAAACTGTTTTCCAAAGCAGCTGTCCCATTTGCCCCTCCCACCAGCAATGAAGGAAGTCCCAGTGTCTCTGTATCCTCACCAGCACCTGCTGTTGCCTATCTGTTTTATTTTGGTCTCGGCGGCTGTGCAGTGGTATCTCGTTCCGCTTTTGATTTGCAGTTCCCAAGTGGCCGACAATGTTGAGCATCTTTTCACATGCTTACTGACGTTCATGTGTGGCCTTTGGAGAAATGTCTATTTAAGTCATTTGTACATTTTTAATTGGGTTGTCACTTACTGTTGACTTTAAGGGTTCATTGTATATTCTAGATCTAGTCCTTTGTCAGACGTTAAGATTTGCAAAAGCGTTCTCCCATTCCGTGGGGTGTCTTTTCACTTTCTTGAAAGTCTCCTTTGAAACACACTAGTGCTTAATTTTGACGAAGTCTAATTTACCTATTTTTCTTTGTTTTCCCTGTGTTTTTTTTTTTTGTTTGTTTGTTTTTTTTGGTGTTAAGTCTAAGAATCCAAGGTCATGAAGTCTTAAACCTAAGTTTTCTTCTAGGAGTTTTATAGTTTCATTTCTTACATGGAGGTCTTTGACCTTTGAGTTAATTTTTGCATACAGTATGAGGCAGGGGTCCAGATTCATTCTTTCCCGTATGAATATCCAGTAGTTCCAGCATCATTTGTTCAAACAACTATTCTTTCCCCATTGATACCCTTCTCAAAAATCAATTGGCCATACTCCATAACATCTGGGGAATTGAAAAATAATCAATTGACCATGGGTTTATATTTGAATGGGGCTCATTGCTAGTGTATAGAAATGCAACTAATTTTTATACAGTGATCTTGTCCCCTGCAACCATACTGACCTCATTTATGAATTCTAACCATTTCTTATTGAATTTCTTAGGATTGTCCACATGTAACACCAACTGCAAGTAGAGATAGTTTTACTTCTTCCCTTCCAATCTTGATGCCTTTTATTTCTTTTTCTTGCCTAATTGCCCTGGCCAGAGCCTCTGTCACAGTGTTATATAGAAGTAGGTGAGAGTGGACATTCTTACCACATTCCTGATCTTAGGGGGAAGCATCTAGTCCTTCCACTGTAAAGTATGAAATTAGCTGTGGGGTTGTTTGGTTTCGTTTGGTTTGATATCCTTTATCAGGTTGAGAAAGTACTCTTCTTATACCTTTCTATTGAGGTTTAATTTGCATACAGGGAAATGAACAAATCGTAAGCGTACAAACGAATCTCAAGCTTGATGGCTCTCTATATACGTGCATATTTCCTTCCATCCATACAGAGTCCCTTCCCAGCCTTCCCTGATAGGTTTGCAAAATTTAGCAAAAAAAATGAATAGGATGCCCAGTTACATTTACGTTTAGAATAAAGAAATTTTAGTGTATGTCCCATAAAATATTTGAGACGTATCTTGGGACTTACACAAAAAATTATTCATCGTTTATCTGAAATCCAAATGGTAACTGGGCGTTTTGTGTTTGGCCACATCACCGCTGCTGCGTTTTCCCCATCCCTGGACCTCATATAGGTGAAATCATAGAGCATGAACTTTGTTTCCTGTCCTAATGTTTTTGAGATCCATCCCTATTATTGCACCTGTCTCTATTATTTTTTTTTTACGTTGCCAAAGAGTATTCCATTATCCCACAGTCTATATCTGTTTTCCTGTTGACACCTGAACTGTTTCCAGTTTGGGGCTACTGTAAATAAAGCTTCCACGTGTGTTCTGGTGGGTGTCTTTCTTATACACCTTTGCATGTCTTTCTCCCGGATAAATACTTAGGAGTGGAATTGCTGGGTCATCGGGCATATGTAAACTCCACTGGTAACTAATTTCTTTCCTGCATATCTGTATAAAATACACATCCTTCCTCCCTCCTCCCCCTCATGCACATAATGTTAACTATGTAAGGTGATGGGTGTGCTAACTAGTTCAATCACGGTAATCATTTCCCAGTGTGTACGTCTGTCAAATCACCACGTTGTACACCTTGACCATACGCAATTGTAATTTGTCAATTATTCCTCAATATAGCTGAGGGGGAAAAGAGTAAAGCAAAATTAAGATTACTACCTGTCCAGAGGAAAAGCAATGAGGTAATACTCTGAAAAAAAAGATAAAATACATTAGTACATTAGTATGCGAATAGAGACTGTGAATACGTACATATATTGGGAGCACATGGCCAGGCATTTACTGATGGGAGATGTGATACAGACAGTATACACAGCTGAGGACTTCCGCAGGGGGGAAATATTGGGGACTGGGGGGCAGGAAGGAAAGGTGATCAGAGACAGTCTTTAGGAATGAAACCTAAAGGGTATCTGGGGGGCGGGGGGTGCAGTGCCCATAGGAATAATGTTGCCAGCCGATATGCAGCACACCAAACAAACAACAAATCGTTTTTTAGCATAAGTATATGCCAATATATGTCGCCCGAATTGCATAAGACATACTGACCCTAAAATATTATTCATGTCTCTCTGAAATTTAATGAATTCTTGAGAGCTTGTTTGGAGGCTCTAGCAGGGGAGCACAGCTACTCCTACACCCTTGACTGAAGAACGGTCCTCCCCAGTCGGGGAAGGTCCTCCTCTCCCGCTGAGGACGCACAGGGAGGGTGAGGAAGGGGACACCCGTGTAGCCAGCCAGATCAGCCACATCAACCCTGGTGATCAGTGGGGCGACAGATGCCCCATCCAGAAATTTACATGAATTCTTTAATTTATTTTGTATTGATACACAACAATTGTACATAATTATGGGGTACACCGGGACATTTTGATACATGCGTACAATATGTAATGATCAAATCAGGGCATGTAGGATATCCATCACCTCAAAAACTGATCATTTCTTTGTGTTGGGAGCACTTCAACTCTTCTAACCATTTTGAAGTGTATAACAAATTATTGTTAACTAAAGTCACGCCCCTGTGCTATCGAACACTAGAACTTACTTCGTCCATTTAGCTGTATGTTTGCACACGTTAATCAGCCTCTATCACCCCCCTGCTCGGCCCGGGTAACGGTCACTCTACTCTATGCTTCTGTGAGATCAATTCCTTTAGCTCTCACATGTGAGCACAGATGAGAACACGCAGTGTTTGTCTTTCTGTGCCCAGTTTATTTCCCTTAACATGGTGACCTCCAGTCCCATCCATGTTGCTTCACATGATAGGGTTTCATTCTTTTTTATGGCTAAATATTATCCATGGTATATATACACCACATTTTCTTTATCCATCACTCATGGATGGAGACTCAGGTTGATTCCACATCTTAGCTATTATGAACAGCACCACAATAAACATGGGGGCACAAGTATCCCTTTGATACACTGATTTTCTGCCCTTTGGATAGATACCCAGCAGTGGGATTGCTGGATTGCATGGTAGTTCTATTTTTAGTTTTTTGAGAAATCTCCACATTACTCTCCATAATGGATGCACTAATTTACATTCCCACCAACGGTGCATAAGACTCCCTTCCCGCAGCGCCCTCACCAGTGCCTGTTGTTTTTTGTCTTTCTGATCACAGCCGTTCTAACTGGGGTGAGACAGTATCTCACTGCGGATTTGATGTGCATTTCCCTGCTGAGTAAGGATGCTGAGCATTTCTGCATGCACCTGTTGGCCTTCTGCATGTCTTCTTTTGAGAACTATCTATTCAGGTCCCCTGTCCACTTCTTAAAGGGATTATTTGGCTTTTTGCTGTTGAGTCGCTTGAGTTCCTTGTATATTCTGGATATTATTGCCTTGTTGGGTGAATGGTTTACAAACATTGTCTCTTTACTCTGTTTATTGTTTCCTTTCCTGTGCAGAGGCTTTAGTTTAACATAGTCCCATTTTTCTGTTTTTTTGTTTTGTTTCCTGTGCTTTCAAAGTCTTATCTGTAAAATTTTTGCCTAAAACAAAGTCCTGAAGTGTTTCCCCTGTTTTCTTCTAGTAATTCTATAGTTTCAGGTCTTACAACTTAAGTCTTTAATCTATTTTGAGTTTATTTTTGTATATGGTGAAAGATAGGGGTCCACTTTCATTCTTCTACATGTGAATATCCAATTTTCCCAGCACCATTTATTGAAGAGAATGTCCTTTCCCAATGGTATGTTCTTGGAGGCTTTGTTGAAAAGCAGTTGGCTATACATAGCTGGATTTATTTCTGGGTTCTCTATTCTGTCCCATTGGTCTATGTATCTATTTTTATGTCAGTACCATGCTATTTTGGTTACTATAGCTTTGTAGTGTATTTTGAAATCAGGTAGGGTGATGCCTCTAGATTTGTTCTTTTTGCTTAGTATTGCTTTTTTCCATAAAAAAATTAGAATTGCTTTTTTCTATTTCTGTAAAGAATGTCATTGATATTCTGATAGAGGAGTGCACTGAATCTGGAAATTGCTTTGGGTAATATGATTATTTTAACAATGTTAATTGTTCCCATCCATGAGCATAGGATTTCTTTACATTTGTTGCCCTGTTTAATTTCTTTCATCAGCGTTTCATAATTTTTATTATAGAGGTCTTTCACCTCCTTGGTTAAATTTCTTCCTATGGTTTTTTTGTAGCTAATATAAATGGAATTTCTTTTTCAGCTAGTCCATTATTGGTATATAGAAATACCGTTAATTTTTGTATATTGATTTTGTGTCCTATAACTTTACTGAATTTGTTTACCAGTTCTAAGAGGTTTGGGTGGAGTCTTTAGGTTTTTCTAGATATAAGATTATGTCATCTGCAAAGAGGGATAATTTGATTTCCTCTTCTCTACTTTGAGTGCCTTTTATTTATTTCTCTTGCCTGATTGCTCTGGCTAGGACTTCCAGTACTATGTTGAATAGGAGTGGTTAAAGTGGGAATCCTTGTCGTGTTCCAGTTCTTAGAGGAAAGGCTTTCAGCTTTTCCTCATTCAGTATGATGTTAGCTGTGGGCTTGTCACATATGGCCTTTGCTATATTGAGGTACGTTCCTTCTATGCCTAATTTGTTGAGAGTTTCTACTCATGAATGGATGTTGAATTTCATCAAATACTTTTCCTGTGCCTGAG